AAGTTCGTTGAATAGCGTCAGTTGGATAGCGTCGTGATTAAATATTTTGTTCAGTTAAATAAAGTATATTAAAGTTATGTTATTAAATATTTTGTTCAGTTAAATAAAGTAAATTAAAGTTATTTAAATAAAGTCTACTAAAGTTATGTACTTAACTCAAAAACCACATTTAAAGTTCAGAAGTGGGATTGAATCAATGCCCTAAAGGGGAGTAATTAAAACGTAAGTTTAAATATTTGGCGCAGAAAAATAAAAAAAAAACGAACGCAGATATATACGTAATGATGGTGACCATCGAGTCACTGACGAAGGAACAGTTGAAGGACTTCTTACAACAGCAAGAGTTATTAACTACAGGCAATAAGGCGGAATTAGTTGCACGATTAACTGAACACGTGAAGTCAAGCGGCGTAGTTTTGCAATTTACAAACGATAATGAGGAATTGCGGGGTGAAAACGAAGAATTGAGAAAACAAATTAGCGAACTGCGGCAAATGGTTCAACAAGTAGCCATTAACCAGAATAACGTTAAAAACAATCAAAACAGTACTTCAGAAATGCCTAGTAAGGACCGTAACGCGCACTCTATACGAGAAATCGCAGAAGTCTTGCCCAAATTCGACCCAACGAATGAAGATTCTATTACGGCTACGCAATTTGTCGAACGTGTTGAAGCTGTTATGTCTGTATATGCGTGGCCCGAAAAAAGTGTGCTTCTTGCAGTGTATAGCCGTTTGAAGGGTGTGGCGCGCATGTGGGTGGCCGCATCACCAAGAATGCATTATACTTGGAAGGAGTTCTCAAATGAGCTTGTCACCGAGTTCGGTTGCGAATACGATGAAGAGGATATACATTACAATATGTCGCGCGTTGCTCGAAGGCAAAACGAAACAATAACTGAGTTCATTTTTCGTGTTTCTGCGCTATGACGACGTCATAATCTTAGTGAGATGGCTATCACGAAATACGCCCGAGAAGGATTAAAACATCGAGAACTACAAATGGCGATTGCTCCACAAAAATTCGTATCCGTTAAAGAAATGCGTGAAGCATGCGAGAACTTTTTACAAAATTGTAATACAATCGTTCAGTAAGGCAAAGAATGTTATGTATTACAATGTGGTAAGTCAGGGCACTTGTCAGTAAATTGTGCAAGACCCCCAAAACGTCCTCGTTGTATAGATTGTAATAAGGTGCACCCCAAAAATGAACAGCAAAATTGCAGACAACCATCAGCTTCCATGCGAAAAACAAGTATTATCGACAATAAATTTCTTAAGAAAATAACGATTGGTGGCAAGCAAGCCATTGCATTTATTGATACTGGAAGCGAATGTAATATGGTCCGGGAAACATTTGCCAACGATATTGGTGGTACGCGCAGCAAAAACCTATTTACCATCGGTGGATTCGGTGGTGGTATAGAACGATCTGAGATACAAATCGACACGGATTTGAAAATCGATGAGGTTGAAAAACCGTTGACGTTTCACGTCTTCAAAGATTGTGTGTTGAATTACGATCTATAGGGGACGAAATATGCAATAGCGAAAATATACGCGCCGTATATGACAACGGACAGTTCAAATTCGAAGACAAAGTAAAAACGACGTGTAAAATTAATAAACTTAGTCCAATAACGGAAGATGACGTGTGTACGGACACTGTAAATTCAGATTCTAAGGGAAAGCTGTTAGAGGTGATTAATGAATTCCGAGAATGTTTCGCTACAGGTATGGATGGAATCGGCAAAACTAATGTAGTCGAAATGAAAATTGAGTTAACGACCAACGAGGTGATCGCACAAGTCCCGTATAGAGTTCCGGAACCGAAAAAAGAAATCGTTGCGAAGAAAATTCAAGAGTTGCTCGACAATGACTTTATAGCTCCGTCTGAATCAAGTTATGCGAGTCCAATGTTGCTTGTGAAGAAAAAGAATGGCGAACATCGATTTTGCGAGGACTACCGTCGGATTAATCAATTCACTCGAAAAGAATGCTACCCAATGCCCAATATCGAAGAAAGTTTACAAGAAGCAACGAAGTATCGAATCTATGTACATATCGTTAGATCTTAACTGTGGTTATTATCAAATTCCTATCGAACGTAACAGTCGTAAATATACTGCAGTTGTGGTTTCTGATGGTCTGTATGAGTTTAAACGGATGCCGTTCGGGCTGAAGAACGCACCAGTCCTGTTTCTACAATTGATGGCGAAAATTAAGACGCGCTTGGAATCCAGTGATATGATTCACTACATGAACGATATGCTTGTCGGCGGCAACGATGAAGAAGAACTTCTCGGAGTTTCCAACGAATTTTAGGTGTAATAAAAGAATTTAATTCAACATTGAATTTAAAAAAATGCGAATTTCTGAAAGATACTATCCAATTATTGGGACATCAGTTGGGACCCAACGGGATAACGCCGGGTGAAATCAAAATCGAAGCCATCCGAAATTTCAACATGCCTACAACGCAAGCAGAGGTGCGGCGCTATTTAGGGTTAACGGGATATTTCCGTAAGTTTATACCAGGCTACGCAATTATATCCGAACCGTTGCGACAATTACTTAAGAAAAACGCCGTCTTTAAATGGACAGATCAATAAACAAACTCCTTTGTGAGTCTAAATGAAGCACTAACAACCGGACCAGTTATAATGGGCTATCGAGTAGAAGCTGACCATCAAGTGCATACAGACGCGAGTGCAAGCAACGAATGGCGCACGTCGACGCACTAAGTCGTATGCCTAACGAAGACTGTTGCGATCTTGAGGAAGCGACTTTGCGAGTCTGGAAGGCGGAAATAACTGAGGCAGATTGGCCTTACAGTATGCAATTACAAGATAGCAAACTTCAACAAGTCGTAATGAAAATTGAGGAGAAGGATTCAGACATTATTAACGACTATTAAATAATTAACGAACGACTGTACAAACGGTATAAAAACCAACAGCTCTTCGTAATACCAAAGGCTTTGTGATGGAAGGTGACACATGATGCACATGTTAAAACAGGATACTTAAGCGTTGACCGAACGATTGAATACTTACTACGGTCTATGTGGTTCGCTCGAATGGGAAACTTTGTCAAATCTTTTGTGAAAGCGTGCATTGATTGCGCCTTCACTAAGCGTTGAGAAGGTAAAAAGGAAGGTGAGTTACATTGCGACAAAATGGAGCCTATTCCGTTCAAAACAATACACATTGACCACCTGGTTATTGTGGACAGTTTCACAAAATTTGTCATCGTTAGACCAGTGAAAAGTACGAACACTAAACAAGTCATCGCCATTCTGAATGAAGTTACCAGTTACGTTGGAACCCCTGAAAATATAATAAGTGATCGTGGTACCGCCTTTACGTCAAAAGAATTTGAAAGATACTGTAACGATCAACAAATCAAACACATACGCAACGCAGTGCGTACGCCACGAGCCAATGGCCAAGTCGAATGATTTAATCGCACCGTTTCATCCATGCTGCAACCATCAACACAAGATGACCGAACCTGGGACGAGCAACTACGAAGCATTCAATGTACATTGAACTCACTGATTAGCCAAACGACGGGAAAATCTCCAAACGAATTGCTTTTTGGATTCAAGCCACGCGACATATTAGGTAACAAGCTGATCCAAATTCTCCAAGATGAAGACGATACTATTCCCATCACCCAAGAAGAACTCCACCGCCGACGATTACTTGTTGCTAATAACACCGATAGTAAACGGGTAAACGCGAAAAAGCGTTTTGACGATAAACACAGGAAACCAACGAAATATGAGCAAGGTGATTTAGTTCTAGCAGAACGAGAGTAACGGAAGTTCGTTGAATAGCGTCAGTTGGATAGCGTCGTGATTAAATATTTTGTTCAGTTAAATAAAGTATATTAAAGTTATGTTATTAAATATTTTGTTCAGTTAAATAAAGTAAATTAAAGTTATTTAAATAAAGTCTACTAAAGTTATGTACTTAATTCAAAAACCAAATTTAAACTTGTTAGAAAGATTGATAGACATAATAAAATTTTAAGTCTCTCATTATCTATCATTTAGAGTTCGTCGAGAATCCCTTAGTATGGACGATAATGTAAATAGTGGTAATTTCATAGATCTATTTAAGTTGTTATCCAAATATGATCTTACACTACGGGGGCACTTGCAACGTATTAGTGACCACCAAATTTCGCAACATTTTTCGAGTCCCGGAATTACAAATTAATTAATTGAATTAATGTCTAAGACAGTTATTGACGAAATTATAGACAGAGTTAAACAAGCAAAATATTACGCTCGATTGCACCAGAGACGTGAGCCGCGTTGAGTAAATGTCATTAATGCTAAGATTTTGCAATTCCTTGGCCGGATCTATAGAGGAACACTTTGTTGGGTTTATTGCTGTCGCTGAAACAACGGGAAAGTGTTTAACAAATTCGTTACTACAAGAATTGAACAAATTTGGTTTAGATATCTAAAATTGTCGAGGCCAGTGTTATGATAATGGTGCCTGAAGAAACTTTAATAGTTTTTAAAGCTATGTTTTGTTATTTCAAAATTAAAATAAAACGGGATCTATTATTTCACTATTTCTTATTTATTAAAAATTAATTTATTAAGTTTAATTGCCACTTGCGCACTTCACCGAACCGACCGTCTTTGTTCGCGAGTAAAAAAAAAGAAAGAAACCAAAAGCAAAAGTGCATTGCATAACCGTATTACAAAAAGAGGTAAAGGCAAGCGTTGCCATGTAGTTAATTTGAGATGAGTTTTTATCGGTTGAAGTGCGCAAGTGGTGAATAGAGATTAGTATTTAACATTAATATTTGTAAACATTTGTATATTTGTAAATGTCTTAACACCGGCCAGGTTGAAGCACCATAGATGTTCAAGTTGGAAGCAACCCCAATTTGTGGATTGGCCTTCTGATGACTCCGTTTTTTGTTCTAATATCTGCCACGCGCACCTTGCCGTCGCTCCCGACTACCGTACCTTGAACCCTACCGATCAGCCATTGGTGAGGGGGAAGATTGTCTTCGTGGACAACGACGAGACGGTCGACTGCTATGTTCGGCTGATCCAAGATCCATTTGGTTTTTGTTTGCAAGGTGAGGATATAGTCCTTGGACCAGGCCCGCCAAAATGTGCGTTTGAGCTCGCATAGCAGCCGTCATCTCTGCGCATAATTCAGACCGCTGTTTTGCACGTCGAGCGCTGATTCTTGCAGCAGCGTGCGCAGAGAATCCCCTATTAGTAGGTGTGCTGGTGTTAGCGCTTGACCGTCGTTTGGATCTTGGCTGAGAGGTTCGATTGGTCTTGAATTGAGAACAGCTTCTACCTGTATTGCCAGTGTTTGCAGTTCCTCGTTGGTAAGCATTGCGCTGCCCGCTGTTCGTAGTAATAGATATTTCGCGGACTTGACGGCGGCTTCCCACAATCCTCCGAAATGTGGTGCGCGAGGCGGTATGAAGACAAACTCGATTCCTTCTTATGCAGCATATGACACCAGCTGGTCTTTCTGTACTTTGAACGTTTGTTGCAGTTCTTTTAGCTCTCGGCAGGCTCCCACGAAATTCGTTGCGTTGTCGCAGTAAATTCGCTCTGGCAATCCTCTCCGTCCTACGAACCTTTTAAGACAAAGAATAAAACAATTAGAAATTAAATCAGAGACTAGTTTGAACCTGTTCCACGACCTTTAAGAAAGCGTCATTTAATTCTTTGACACTTAGGATTAGTGATATCTCTTTTTGACATTTCCTAGCGCGATTTATGAATCGGAGTATATACGCAACAATTCGCATTAGCTTCATGTATGATGACTGAGTACCGACTAATTTTAAAATTGCGTTTGAGGGTTCTTCCGATACGATAAACACAGCTCTTATTTTCCTTGTTTCCAGAGATACTTGCTCCGAAGTGATTATTGGCGCTATTTTAATTGGCCACTTGGCAACATCTTGCGACAGGTATTCAGGCCCAGCTTGCCAAATTGAACTGACTAGTTCAGTAACGTTACATCCTTTGGATACTATGTCAGCAGGATTGTGCTGTGACTGCACGTGTCGCCATGTTATATTAGTTGACCATTCTTGTATCTCTGAAACCCTGTTCGCCACGAATGTTGAAAGTGTTGACGGATGCGTTTTGATCCAATGTAGTGTAATCGATGTATCGATCCAAAAAGTTACCTGGTCGATGTTGTGATGGAACATTAAACGGATTCTATTCCACAATTTGGAGAGCAAATATGCAGCGCATAACTCTAACCGAGGTAAAGATTTGCTTTTCAGAGGAGCAGCTTTTGATTTAGCAGTAAGCAACTCACACTTGAAACCATTTAACGTTTCACATCTTACGTATAGACAGCAACCATATGCTCGCACTGATGCATCAGCGAAACCATGAATTTGGCATTTAACTTTAAAATGCAAATTAACATACCGCGGAATTGAAATTAAGTTTAACTGTTTCAAATCATTCTTAAAGGCCTGCCAAGCAGTGTCAAGACGCATGGGTATGGATTCGTCCCAGTCAAGTTTCTGTAACCACAGCACTTGCAATAAAATTTTTGCTTTCACAACAATTGGGCATAATAAGCCAAGGGGGTCGAATAGACGAGCTGATATCGATAAGATATTTCTTTTTGTTGCACGCAAATTTAGGTAAGTGTCGTCCAACTGAAACTTAAATACATCTTTTGTGGTATGCCACTGTATGCCTAGTGCTTTCGTTGTATCAATATCGGTTATATTCAATGATTTTTTCAACTGCTTATCGTCCTGATAGGTGGAATGGTTTGAGAACCATTTGGCTTACTGGAACCCAGCTGTCTCCAGAATTTGGGTGACTTGCCAAATTCGAATTGTTTCGAGTTCATTAAATGAATCTGCACCTGTCAGCAAGTCATCAACATAGAAATCGGTTCGAATTACATTGGAACCAATTGGAAGCGTTGATTGATTAAGATCACTTAGATGGCGTAAACATCGAGTTGCTAAAAATGGTGCAGATGATGTTCCGTATGTCACAGTGTTCAATTGGTAAGTCTTCAATTCTTCGTTTGGACTTTCCCTCCACAGAATGCGTTGAAAGGCGCGATCTGCCTCGTCAATCAAAACTTGACGGTACATTTTAGTAATTTCAGCAGTTAATGCATATTTATGCATACGGAAACGAAGCAACGTTGTGTACAATTCTTCTTGTATCGTCGGACCCACCACTAATATGTCGTTTAATGACAGTGGAGTTGATGTTCTCGAAGAAGCATCGAAGACTACACGAAGTTTTGTTGATGTACTTTGTGGTCTTAATACGCACTGATGTGGTATGAAGTAGTGGGGAGATACAGAAAAGTTACGAGTTGATAAAGTCATGGGACCTAGATTTACGTATTCTTTCATAAAGTCCATATATAAATCATGCAGAGCAGCATCTTTAGAAAGTCTACACTCTAGTGACAAGAAACGACGCTTAGCTGTCTCAAATGATAGCCCAAGGTTGCTGGAATCAGACTTGAAAGGAAGAGAAACTTTGAATCGCCCCGATGGTAAGCGTTGCACTGACGACAAGAATTTGTCCTCGCAAAGTTTGTGCTCAGGTATGAGCGTGGCGGTTTTTTCACTATTGGGAATTTCTTCAAGTTCCCAAAATTTTTGTAACAATGAGCTAACTACAGTGTCATCATCTTGTGAAACAGTTAAGGCATTAGCATGGGGCTCAACATTTCTATTGCTTTGATATTTTCCAAACACAGTCCAGCCGAGTAATGTTTTTTGCAGCGTGGGGAGATTCGGACTTTGTTTTATTTGTCCGACTGATAGAAGTTCGAAAAACGTTTCAGCACCAAGAAGAAGATCAATTCTTTGTGACTTGTAGAAATATGGATCAGCAAGGTCAATGTTTGCCGGAATCTTCCAATTGGCGGTAGAGATATTATGATTTGGTTGGTAGGTGGATATTGTTCGCAATACCCAAAAATCGGCTGAGAATTCATGAGAATTGACTCGCGATCTCACAGTCGCATGTAACTTATGCTTAACTGTGGTATTAATCTTACCAATTCCAATTAAAGTAAGGCATCCATCTTCCCTTCTTAACTGCAATAGTTGTGCAAGCTCCTCGGTCATAAAATTTGTTTGAGAACCGGAATCAAGTAAGGCTCTGGCTGTTCGGTACTCTCCAGACTTACTCTTTACAGTAACTAGTGCTGTCGCCAAAATTACCTGGTCGCAATTAGTAGCACTATGATTTACAAAAACGCGATCGGAATCAGAACTTACAGTTGCGTGAGGGATAATTGGAGTGTATTTGTGCAGTAGTGTGTGATGTTGTCCTGCACACACTCTGCAACGTGATGATTTACATGCTGAAACAGAATGCCCTTTTTTTAAACAGTTTATGCACGCTGGAATTGCCTTGACTGCGTCGAACCGTTGTGACGCAGGCAATTCAGCAAATGATGTACACTTCGTTATCATATGGATATTAGACATACAATATACGCATTTGGGATCATTGGATTGATTCAGCTTGTTGCAGGCAAAGGAGGATTTAAAGCTGCGTTTGTCCCGTTTAACACCGGGTTTTTGGTCACACTCTGGCACTGATTTTTTATGCTTTGTAGAAGAGGTCTCGTCCGCTGATAGATGTTGGAACCTTTTATTAAGCGCTGCTTCACAGTCACTCCATAATGGCAAAGTGTTGTAGTCCAGCTGTTCTTCCCATTTTGATTTTGTGACTGAATCCACCTTTTGCATGACTAAATGAATAAGAATTGCATTGGTGATATTCTTAGCATCTCCTATTGAAAGAAGGGAATCATAGATGGCAGACACAGTGTCGATTGTAGTGCGCAAAGTTGCAGCAAACGGTTTGTAAATTGCTGGGAGATCGAAAAGCTTGCTAATGTTGTCGGAAAAAATGAGATAATTGTTGTCGTACACCTTCCTAAGACTGGCTAACGCTTTTGGATAATTCCTCTCAGTGACTTGAAAGGCCTTCACAGTACCAAAAGCTTCATATGACAAACATGACAGTAAATGGTTGAATTTTTCAATGTCCGTAAGAGTTTCATCACTATGAACAAGGCTTTCAAACAAACTAATGAAATTTTTATAATCACAGTATTTGCCGCTGAACTTTGGTAGTCGCATGCTTGGCAACTTCAATTGCGGTCGACCACAGTGGTGCGAGATTGCAGGGGCGCTAACAAGGCGATGTTTTTTCAACTTTTGTAAAAACAAGGACTTAGTTGAAACACAAACATTTTCTAAAACAGCCCTATAGTCATCAGTAGGATCCAGGTCAAATATTTTGCTCTGGTATTGCATCGCTTTGTCAATGTAAGAGTCAAGTATTTCCAATCTACACTCTAGTTCACTAGGGCTTTTGGAAACAATGCCTTCTAGTAAATTTGCCTTTAACCTTAAAATATCAGCAACTACTGCTTCTCGATTATGGATCAAGGTATCTACCGCCTTTGGAGATTGCAAAGAGTGTGATCGCTTTTTAGTAGGCATTTTAGAAAATAAATGATCGCAAGTGACAACAAAGGAAAAGAGAATTTTGGACTAAGTAAATCGACGTGCTTCACGTTTAGCTGTATTGTATATTTTATTCGTTGTTAATAGAATGCAGTATAATGTAAATGATATATTTTTTATTTATTGTTAATATATAATTCAATATAATGTTAATAATGTATATTATATTTTTTTGTTAATATAATGCAATGTACTTGTAATCAAAAAAGAGAGAATGCAGATGGCAGTGCTGTTAGGATTCTATAATGAAGGAAAATTGTTATGCTTGCGGTGATTTTGCCGCTGTAATTAAATTTTATTTAAGCACTGTCACTCATCTACATTTCTATTACCTGACGATCCTTTGGTCTCCTATTGCAGCAACAGTCCATTGATTGGAAAATTTGATGAACAGCGATGTTGGTGAAACAGCTGTACCAGTACCGTTTATTTAATAAGATGATAAACGTGGTCCGTAAAGCACCGTTGCATCTTTTGGCAGCAATGTGGTGACACAGCAAACCGGTGAAATTATTTTACGGTACCAGTGCCGTTTATTTACGAAAAATGATAAACGTGGTCCGTGAAGCACCGTTGCGGATTTTGGCAGCGATGGTGATGGAGCAGCAAACCAATGAAATTAGGTTACGGTTCCAGTATCGTTTATTGAATGAGGAAATAAACGTGGTCCGCGATGCACAATTGCGGCTTTGAACAGCGGTGGTGGTGGAGCAGCAAACCGTTGAAATTAGGTTGCGGTACCAGTACCGTTTGTTAATGACAAAGAGAAACGTGGACCGCGTGGCAATGTGAACTTAATTTAAAAACCAGAAACACTCACAATAAAACAGATTAAAAATTAAAAGAAACACTTTAAAATAGTCCCTGCTCGGGCGCCATGAAGAAACTTTAATAGTTTTTAAAGCTATGTTTTGTTATTTCAAAATTAAAAAAAAACGGGATCTATTATTTCACTATTTCTTATTTATTAAAAATTAATTTATTAAGTTTAATTGCCACTTGCGCACTTCACCGAACCGACCGTCTTTGTTCGCGAGTAAACAAAAAAAAAAGAAACCAAAAGCAAAAGTGCATTGCACAACCGTATTACAAAAAGAGGTAAAGGCAAGCGTTGCCATGTAGTTAATTTGAGATGAGTTTTTATCGGTTGAAGTGCGCAAGTGGTGAATAGAGATTAGTATTTAACATTAATTCAAATGCAAATAAATTAAAATGAATATATTTGGAAATGTCTTAACAGTGCCAATATGGTCGGTATTAATAAAGGCGTTAGAAAAAGAATCCTGAATATTAATTCAAGAGCATTTTTTACGCCTTTTGGCTGCCACAGCTGGAATTTACTTTTGATTGATGCAGCTAATTCTTCTGTAACAGCGAAAACGTTTTTCGGGTTCATCAATAAAATCTATTTGCGTTTTTCAAAGTCGAGCAAGCGTTGGAATCTTGTAAAAACCAAATTAAAATTGACCTTAAAATTGATCTTTATCTGAAACCAGATGGGAGAGTAGAATCGGAGCAGTAAGAGCGATATTTTTGAAAAATCAAACCGATGATTTTGGAACTTTAAGCGATTGTGACGCAGTGTTGAATAAAATGCTAACTTTCGAGTTTATTTTGCTACGAGTTAGCAATATAAATAAACTATGGCATTCGAATGAAATAAACTTGAAGATGTCTATTGATAGTCTACGTTCATTTCGTGATTGGGTAAAAGAGTATCGAAATACTGGATTTGAAAAAACCGCTGAACAAGCCCAATTGTTTGTAGGAAAAAGTAATTACGAAATTACATATAAATTTAAAGAAAAAAGAATAGCAAAGAAGAAATGATTGTTCTGATACCATTCTGCCTTTTAAACTGTTTGAGGAACTGTTGCTTTTAAAATCGCATTTACTAGACTCAATCAATGATATAAAGTAACTCGTCCGGTACATAAAAGAAAATAATTTAGAGAAAGTTTATCCTAATGTTTATATAGTAACCAGAATTAGCTTCTGCAGAAAGAAGCTTCTCAAAGCTAAAATTGATTAAGACCTATTTGCGAAGTATGAGTCAAGAAAAACTATCTGCATTGGCAATTTTATCAATTGAAGCAAAACTATTAGCTGGTGCAAATTGTGATATAATTTTAAAAAAGATCAGTGAGGCTAAAAATAGGAAAATTCGTTTATTTTAATTTGTGTTTCTTTTAATTTGATTACCATAAAAATAAAATGATAAAGTTAATGTAAATTATTTATTTTTAAAATTCGGTAATGCAAGGGGCCTCGCAATTATAAATTCGCCGACGCACTGTAATTAAAGTACAAATACAAAAACTGTAAGGACGTCGCGAGTTTCATAGACAAGCACGTGGTTTTTCAAATGGCTAACTATTATATCCATTAGATGGCGCAGAACTCTGAACTTGCTCTCCAGTGTATCGAGAATATCAGCCCATCTTACACTATTGAACGCATTTCGTACGTCAAGCGCTTGCAAAACAATGTTTCTCGAGAAGCGGTTGCCAGTCCGTGCAGTCTTTACTGTTTCAACTACGTCCTCATGAAGATAAGATTTGATTTATATCAGCAATTCAAGGATTTTTATTGTTTTTGCCCCTTTGTCTTACTAATTGGAAAAAGTTTTAATTTAGGATCTTAGTTATTTGAAAAAACATATTTGTGTTTATTCTGAATCACAAGGGAATGGGAGTTTTTTCCCAATTTTGCATAAAGTCTTTTCCAAGCAAATGATTTGAGAGACAAGTTAAAAAAAGAGTTTAATTTAATATGTAAGTAACTTATAATGATGAGATTTTTGAATATAATTTAATAAAATTATTATTATAATAAATGTAACATTTTTAAATTTTTATTTGTTTATTTGATCCACACGGGTTGATGAGTTTTTTGAATATATTTTCATAAAATTATTATAATAAAATGTAATAAAGACAAAGTCTCAACTATCCGCTCAACTATCTAGCCGATTAATCAACCAATCCTCCCACCCGATAATGCCGGTAGACAATGGGAACATATCTCTCACTCCCCACGCATAACTGCGGAATATGTCCTTGGTTTCTAATGTCCCACATGACAAAACCAATAGTACGACGAGCTGTG